AAACCGCTAAGGTAGATAGTCGTAGATAGTTGCTTGAAGGGGATTATAGCCCGATCTTGCCCTGAGTGTCACAGTAACGTCGTGCCAAGAGTTTAGGTAAAACTGAGCTCCCCGAGTAAGAAACCGCGGCCCTTATATAGTTGAAAATGCCCAGTACTAAGGCGGGGCATTACCATAAAAGGCAATGAAAATTGGGCCGGGTGTGCGCATACGGCATGAGTCAACCCCGTTCAAAGGGTTGCTCGCTAGATGCTCGAGCCAACGCCCAAGTCACCAAACGTTTCAGCCCCATGCATGAATGATATGTAACAGGTCAAATGACCGTTCGTGGTAGACTAGACATGCTATAAATTTTTTTCGGAAAGTAAACAATAAAGAAAAATGTGAATATTGAAAAATGGGTTGTATGTATATTATAGGAAAAGTCAATAAGCTACATGGTGATACAGTAACGTTGTATACGAGAAATTCTAAACGAAATTTCAAAAACGGTCATTTGACCGCGCATGGTAGGTTTAGTGTTAATTTCGGTTTTGCGTGTAAGTCTTTAATATCCGGACAAATATTTAAATACTTTCCTGGCTTTTTGATCGGTGCATTTACTTTTCCTCTCCAGTTCTCAGTTTCGTTTAAAATTTTGCTTTGTTTTGAGGACTCGAAAATATTATCATAATTAGTAAAATTTATATTTTCCTTATTATCATCACTGTCTACAGTGTTATTTCGATCAAGTTTTCTTTTTCTTGATGTTAGTTTATCTACTATTGTTTTTTTATTTAAATTAAAATTATCCACAGGTACCATAATATCTATCGAACTATTATCTATTGGTTGAGAACTGGGAGAAGGTAATAAACTATTTTTATCAATCAAATGAATTTTATCGTATGCTTCAGTTTCTATTTTCGGAATACTAGTGAATAGAATTTTACGTTGTTTACGTTTTGATTCCCTTGACTGACTAGCATTCAAAATTTTCATATGGCCTGCTAATGATTTAATGTGTTGCAATATAAATTTATCTAAACGAATATTTTTTGCGTGCTTTAAAGTTAATTCTTTCAATTCTCTGAAATATTCCTCTGCATACGCCGACGTTGAGACATCATTTGGATCAGATACCAAGGAAGTCCAAAGCGGAAAATGTTTACATATTTGCCGAAAGTTTGGGAGGACATTAGGACACCAATACGGATTTAGTCTATCAGAGATGGAAACGTTAAGATCTAAAGACTCATCTTCCACTTCGAGAAATCTTAAAAAGTTATTTAAACTATTACTGTCATTCATATTAAAATCTGTTGTTCCATTAAAATCGCTATTATCATTATTGTCCGTATTGTCATACTTGATGTCTGTTTTATTTGTTTTTATAAAATTAATTGTTCTTTGTTGCGAAATAATACACAATTCGTGTTCTGTTTGGAACATAGATACTGTAACTATATCTCGGGATATAGTTCGAAACAAATTTATATCGTCACATGTAGTTAATAAGGCAATGCAACGTATTAGGCGTACAAATAAGTTTCCTCGGTTTTTTATAAAAAGTTAGGAATTTATTGTGAAGGAACAGTACATTACGTTTTATTGAAAGTATTTTCCATCATTTGCCACTACTTTTCCCCATCTTTCTGGCAACATTCGGATACCCCGTCGAAAAAACTCTTCATCTTTTGACGCTATCCACAAATCTACCTAATTTTTGGTGTCTTCATATGATGTGAAGCGCTGCTCAGACAGACCATGTGCCATCGACCGGAACAGGTGATAATCAGAAGGGGCTAAGTCTGGTGAATACGGCGGGTGGGGTAAAACTTCCCAGTTGAGTGTTTCCAAGTATGTTTTTACCGGCGCCGCAACATGTGGACGAGCATTATCGTGTAAAAGAATAATTTTGTCGTGTCTGGAGTAGTAATGGGCGCGTTTTTCCTTAAGTGCCCGACTCAATCTCATCAATTGTGTTCGGTAGAGAGCTCCAGTAATGGTTTCGCTTGGTTTGAGCAATTCATAATACACGACACCAAGCTGATCCCACCAAATACACTGCATGAGTTTTTTTCCATGAATATTCGGCTTAACTGTCGATGTTGATGGTTCGCCGGGCTTAACCCACGACTTTCTCTTCTTTGGATTATCGTAGTGAATCCATTTTTCGTCACCAGTGACTATACGATGCAAAAAACTCTTTTTTTTATTCCTGGCAAGCAGCATTTCACTCATGCATAATCGGCGTTCAACGTCTCTCGGCTTTAGTTCATATGGAACCCAAGTTCCTTGTTTTTGAATCATTCCCAACGATTTTAAACGATGTGAAATTGCTTGTTGAGTCACTTGTAATGTAAGTGCAAGTTCTTTTTGCGTTTGGGACGAATCTTCCTCCAATAATACTTATAATTCCATGTCTTCGTACACTTTCGGCCTTCCACTGCGTTCTTTGTCCTTCACGTCAAACTCACCGTTCTTAAACTTTTGAAACCATTCCTGACAACTTCTCTCACTTAAAGCAGCTTCACCATATGCTTCTAGAAGCAATCGATGCGCCTCAGCTGCAGATTTTTTCAAATTAAAGAAGTAAATCAAAAGTTCCCGCAAATGATGCTTATTCGGCACAAAACTTGACATTTTTGCAGGAAAAAAATTACGTGATGCTGATACGGAATCACTAGTACTTTAAGGTTATGGTGTTGCCGGATGACGAAACTTGGGATATTACGTTTTACATCTGACAATTTCTCCATAACCTTCTGGTTTGGCCATCTTTTGACAAACCGCGGAAACTTATTTGTACGCCTAATACATAAAAATCCTTTACCCGTTTCGGTTTATGCTTGAAATAATTCCATCTACATATAATTTTAATAAAATGAGCAATATTTATTTTAATGATACTTTTTGGTTTGAATGTGGTATTTGTTGTCACAGGAAACTGTTCGTGGTATATTACGAGACGGAATCCGTTAACGATTCAGCGTTGCACACGTCGTGGTTTGCACACGACGTGGTTTGTACACGGCGTGCAATCGCCCTTTTCGGTTAGGGCGATCGTCGATTGTTAATCGAACCGTTCTTTAGACGAGCACCGCGCCGTGCGTTCCTCAGATCGTCGCGAGTTCGCGTCCAGACACAACGTAGCAGATCATTATGTATTTCGCCTTCTATAATAAAGTTTTCTGTTCGTTATTGTTATCTGTGCATATACTTTCGACTACAGTGCATCTCCTATTGCTATCCCATTAACAATAGGTTATGGGCCCAGAATGTCGTGTCCTTCGAAAGTATTAGGTAACGAAATAGGAAGGTGTCGGTCACCGTGTGCATTGCCGTTCGAGTTCAGTGCTTACGAATACCAAGTGGACAATGGCGAGTCTCGTGAAGATCGAAGCTCTCAACAAGGAGAACTACGACACTTGGAAAATTCAGATGCGTGCATTTCTGATCAAGAACGATGCTTGGTGTTACGTCTGCGGTGAGAAGAACGCACCAACAGTGACGGCCGACGATCCAGCAGCAGAAGCGGCTTTCTGCACATGGGCTGAAAACGACGAAAAGGCGATGTCCGATATGGTATATTCCTAGCAAACGGCCCGTTCACCGATCAGGGTAAGTTATACGTCATTCGATTCGTCTAATTCAATACATTATTGATATGCATTTCATTATCTGCGGAAATTCGTTATTTTTGTATAAACTTGTCGTAAAGTTACAGTAAAAAGGTAAGGTTATGTACATTTTTTGATAGGTTCACAGATAGAAACAAGTGACTATCGTTGCTATGTTCGTGTTACAAATATAAATAATTGATCTAATTTGATATTGCTACATTGCCGAACGGGAATTTGTAGAATGCGTATGCATCAAAATCATTTTGTTACGGATAGACTGCATGAGTCGGTCAGGTAGACAGTATGTGCCGCAACAATTACCTCTCCTCTTCTCGACCTGCCTTCCGATTATAAAGTTCAGCACGTAGATGTGATCTACCGTGCTTCTCCCTCTCCTAAACCCTGCCTGGTTCTTCGTGATCATCCCCCTCCCCTCCACCTCCCGTTCCAACCACCCCATCAGGACCGCCGCATATATCTTGTATAGGGTCGGCATCAATGTCACCCCCCTGTACTCCTGTACCCTCTTCCCGCCCCCTTTCTTCGCCAGCGGTACGATGATTCCTTCTCTCCAACCCTGCGGCCACCCCACCCCGTCCAATTTTATGGTATTATATGTTACAGAAAATATTAAAAAACGTGCAAAATTACAAATACTAACCGACAATATTCAGGCAAAAAGTGTTTACTATGCCTCCACGTAGTTTCTATCGTATTTGTATGAGCGCCTGTTTCTGGGTCTTTGAAATGTAAGCTGTGATTTACGGTAAGATGTTTGTATACCCCTCTTTCTCTAAGATGTTATAGGCTTTCCAACAATCTGAAATAATTGTTGTGCCAGGCAACACCCATTGTTTAATTATTGAAAGCAGGGACTATGTGTCCCTACTTTCAACAGGCACCAGGAATATTTTTCCAATTCCTCTTTCTATTCCTCCAAAAATCCATTGTCCCTCTACACGATGACCTCTGTGATATTTTTGGTAATTATGCAAAACAGGTGTTTCCTCACCGATTTTGACGACCTTAAAATATGTTGTCAGGGATACGATTCTGAACAACTTTTTCCTATACAGTCAAACCTGTTTTTGTGCGGTGAATAGGGACCACATAAAAGAAATCGTACAAAAAAATATTCTGAAATTTTATAAATTCTTACATATAATAAACAACTTTGTACGATATACTACCTAAAATTTTTTTATGCGGTGGATAGGGACTGCATAAAAAAAGTCTGACTTAGAAAATACATCAATGACTTATAAAATAGATGAGAGAATGCTTTTAATTAAATTAAATAATTAAATTAGACTTAAAGAAATTGTAAAAATATTTAATTCTTCATTGTACATATACATGGAGAAGTTTTCAAATTATACATTAAATAGCTTGGTCCTACTCGTCGTAATCCAAAACGCGCATCTTCTTGTGACGAATTGGTTGAAAATCGCTTTCGTCGCTTGCAGATAGGATTTCAATTGATTTGTTTTTTGGTACCATAAAGTCAGTGATCAGTTTTTGTGACGACGGTCGACTGGTCAGTTGCTTGTAAACGTCACGATAGTGAGACATGCATGATCTCAGCTCTTTTTGGAATTTTAAGCGTCTTTCCGCATTGGTATCTATTTTAAGAAAATGCGTTTCCAATTTTTTAGAAATCTGGATTCCTGTATATATTTTATCTGCTGTAATGGATTCCGGTTCTTCTTGTCCATTTTCATAATCTATCAAACTATTGATAATGTCATTATCATCGATAGTTTGATCCTCAATCATCTCGTCCAGGTCATTTTCGCCGAAAGTATCGAAGCTTTCTCCGCCGATGTTATGTGCGAGCGCACTAATTTCAGATAATAACGTTGACGCGTTTTCGGTAACGTTTCGATTAATTACACATTCAGGCCAGATCGCTTTCCAGCACGAATTTAATGTGTGCTGTTTGATTTGTCCAATTGCTGCAATAATATGGTTTATGCAGTTTAAAATCGAGAATTTTTTCCAAACTTCAGTCAGGCTTAATTTATCGTTCTCTAGCTTTTTCAAAATGTAGCTGAAAGTTAATTTGATATAATGTTTCTTAAAATTTGCGATTATGCCCTGATTTAGTGGTTGTATGAGGCTAGTCGTATTTGGTGGTAAAAATACTATTTGCACATTAGGATGTTCTATACAGGGATGACCGGGTGCATTATCCATAATTAGTAACACTTTAAACGGAAGACCCATCTCTTCCATGTATTTTTCAACTTCTGGTATAAAAGAATCATTGAACCATGCTGCAAATAGAGCTGATGTGATCCATGCTTTTTTATTGGCCACTAGCAGCCCCGGCGGACTTCGTCCCACCCAAAAATACAACGAAACTATTGCATTTTTTAAATAAAAAATTTTCTTACCAAAAAATCATCTTTATTCTAGTACTTTGTGATACACAATATTTTTGGTTTTTTGTTCCGGTGCCAACACAAACAAAGCAGATGGCTTACCAACACGTGAACAGGCTACATACAGTTGGCCATGTGAAAAACATTCATTTTCCAAATTTAGACCACAAACATCCAATGATTGGCCTTGAGCCTTGTTGATTGTCATGGCGAACGCAAGACGAACCGGGAATTGAATGCGTTTGAATTCGAAAGGCATGTCTGTCGGTATCAAAGGAATACGCGGAATGAGAACTTGTTCTCCTTTAAACTTGCCTTTGAGAATTGTTGCGTAAATGATATTGTTCATGATTTGCTTTACAATCAAACGCGTTCCGTTACACAATTTAGGAGGTTGCAAATTTCGAAGCATAATCACTACCGAACCAACTTTAAGGTGTAAAATGTGTTGCGGAACACCAGGCAAATCCAAAGAATTCAAAAATTCAGTGGGGTAATTCGTAGCTTCATCTTCATTTACCACACAATCAACAGATTTGAATGAATGCATTGGACCACCAATTTGATTTTGAATTTTAAAATTAATCTCATTCACATCCTTGTTCTTCGCTGCCAAAATTGCGCGTTCACTTAACCAATCGTGATTCAAATAATTAACAACAATATCCGGAAACACTTTACGAATTAGTTCATCTTTCGATGTAACGAAATTACAAAAATTCGACGGAAATGAAATCAAACCGGTTGTGACATCGACGGGAACTTCACCATTACCGATGGCTATCAGTTGTTTGGAGAACACATCAGCTGTAGGATCGTTTTGTAATGAAACTCGCATATTCGTATTCAATTTAAGTTTCTTCACAAAGCGCCACAAAGACGATGACTTCAAGGAAGCGTTAACTGCATCAGCAGCAGTTGATTTTGGAATGACAGGTAACGTTTGACGGAAATCACCAGACAATAGAATCATAGCGCCTCCAAAACGTCTTGAATTATTGCGTAAATCCTTCATGGTCCGATTAACTGCTTCCAATGCACGTTTATGCACCATTGTGCATTCATCCCAAATGATGATTTTACAACATTGCAACACTTTTCCCATAGCGGAATTTCTACTAATGTTGCATGTGGGTTCTTCAACCACTTGGAGATTCAACGGCAATTTCAGCGCTGAATGTGCTGTCCGGCCTCCTTCCAACAACGTAGCAGCTATTCCTGAAGAAGCGACTGCCAAAGCAATTTGAGATCTCGAACGAATAGTAGCCAAAAGCAAAGAAATAAGAAATGTTTTCCCAGTACCACCGGGAGCATCGATAAAAAATATTCCCCCATTTCCGTTATCAATCGCCTTCATCAATGTTTCATACACGATTTTCTGCTCAGGATTTAACAATGGAACATTATCACAAACCATTCGGCTCAATGCGTCTCGATCATATTCACGTTCTCGTTCTATTTCTTGATTAAAAGCATCGTGGATTGAACGATTAGGCGCTGGTATTCCTAAAGTACACAACAAATTGCCGCTAATAAGCAAACATATATCCTCAATCGCAATCAACGATTCATTATGAATCTCATCAGTCATTCCCAAATTGAAATCTCCGGTTGCAGCACGAACTCGATGCAAAAAATCCTCTGACATGTTGTCCTTGTATTTATCCCACAAATCTTTCGGATTTGATGGATTACACGTCGAAATTATGATTGCAAACAATGAACGTATTTGATTTGCAGGTGCGCACATAATTGCATCAGCAAGAGTCATATCCCAATGTGTATCATTCTCCAGCAATTGCAAACGTTGACAGGCATCACGATATGTAGGACAGAGTACTCCATCGACGGTTCGAAGTGACTCGAATGAAGTTGGCCCACGAACATTTACCAACAGTAATCGCAAATAGAAACATTCTGCATTTCTAGATGGATGCACTGTGTAAATACGACCGATGGCATCTGTTGAGAATACATCTGGATTATCCGGAACTCGCTCGCCTTGCTTTCGCCGTTGAAACTTTTTCGATGAAGCATTCCAAGTGTAATAACGCGGCATCTGAGAGTAGAGCAATGTTCGTGCGAATGGATCACTCTCACATGTTGAAAAGAAACTGGTCAATGTTGTAGCTGGTGGTCTTTCAGCACGTTGAATGGCAGTGTGTTCAGTGAAATAAACACGTTGACCATTCTCCAGATGCACCGCCAAATGAACTACAGTTGGATGACGGTCGTGAATTGGAAATGAAAAAATTCGCCAAAGAGCCTCATTGCAACTAACATATCTTCCAATTTGATACCGCGTTACTTCATCATCGGCATTTGGATCCGGAACACCAAACGCAGCCATATCACTACCTTTTGTAATATACTTGCAAACGTATTTGATTGCTTTAATCGAATTACAGTCCTCCACATTGATATGCGCATCAAATGTTTTGCAAAGTAGTGGTGAATATGGAACAATCCAACTGTTATCAACCACAACATCATTTTGTTTCACTTTCAATGTAACTGTTCTGCCATTATCATCAGGTGAACGACGTCGATAAAGTGGATATCCGTCGTCGCCGGTAATAGTTTCCGCAGTGAGAGGACGTGGGTAGCGTTTAGAACACTTGCCGTTAGCCATGCACGGTGAATCCATGTTATTGTTGCCACACGGTCCGTGAATCATATTCTTGATGACTATATCATACAATTCTTGATCAATTTCTGGATCCGGTATCTCTGCGCAAATGACAGCATCGATTTCGTCTGGTCGAATCTTTTCAACGAACCAAAGTAGAATATGCGCGTGCGGCAGACCTCTCTTCTGCCATTCAACAGAATACATCCAGCATCGAACATCACCAAATACACGTTGTTTAGTAATGAAACCCATTAGAACCTTCAGCTTCTGTCTGAACACACGTGCAGTGATATCATGTCGATCACTCGATGTTTGGCCGGGAATTAAATTGCACTGAATATCAATCCATCTTGAGTTGCAAGTGAAGGTGACAAATAAATCAGGACGACCGTACTGTCGAACAAACGCCATCGCATCTTGAGCATACTCGTGCATGTGGCGTGGACTGCCAACATACGTTGCCGGTAAGATTGTTAGTCGACCGAGATTCCTCGCATCACCTTCAGTTCTTATTGCATCCCGCAAATGAATGTACTCTTCTGAACGCAATTTCGCTTGATTTAAACGAATGTAACTGAGCCGTTCAGTCTCGATTTTGACATACATATCCACGCAGAATTGTTGAAGCAATCGCCGAAATCGCAACAGATAGTTATCCTCATTTTGACGAATCATTAAACGGTATGCATAGTAGTTCATCGAACTTACTTTCTTCGTTGTTTCTTCACCTAATAACAAATGAATCCGAAGTAACAAATAAATGCAAAGTTTGAAAATAAAATTAAGATTCCATTTAATTGATTGATTTGGTGACATGATTGAAGGAAGAAGTCTACTAACCAGTAACTGGATTTAACATTTTGATGTTAAAGTGGTAGCCGTCATCACCTGTCCAAAACATGAGCGGATACTGAAGTGCATCATACGACCGATGTGTCTCACTAATACGTTGTAATTGTCCATTGTTTCGGCGCGTCAGTACAATATCCCGTGATACCACTTGCTCACCGACTACAATAATGGCAACCTCATCAATTGTCGGTGCATTGTATTGACGTTCGTGCGCTAAGTTAGGCCTTTTATCCGCTTTAATCACGATTTGATGATCATCTGTTAGCATTCTGTCTAACGCATTCTTAAATAATCCAATCAATTCATTATGGTCATGAAGCATTCGTTGCAATTCTCTGATGATGTCTTCTTTCGTTCTATTGTACAATGCACTACGACGGTTTATTTGATCGCTCTCGTTCCCAATGAAATAGATTTGCAAGAAATTATATTCGCCATTAGGAAGCGGCAATAACGACCCAGCACGATGATGCACCTGCCCTTGAATCTGGTTACCAAGAGACGAATTCAAAATTAATAAAATGCGATCATTCAAAGGAAACGGAAGAGTACTCTTTCGAGCAGGAATTACCTTGAACGACGGATTATATCCGCTTTCATTGATAATTGATGCAGCGAAAGAAGTCATTTGAAAGCACCCATTATAGTTTTGAACATTTGCAAGAAATTGCTTTGATTCTGCTGTTACGCCTTCTAGATACGATCGCAATGGTTCCTGTGGCGATGGCAATGTTGGCAATTTAACTTTTCCACTAAGGCAACACAATCCAGGTGTTTCTCCTGGAAATTTCAATGCGTTGCAATGTGGACATACTACAACCATTGATCCAATTTGAACGACAGGAAGAGATCGATAATTGAATGCACAATCATATCGGAATGCTACTCGAAGCAAATTGGCATTGCCAGCACTTCTTCTTTGCTGTCTATTTTCAGTATTTATTCGTCGACTTTGCACCAAAAAATTTTCACATTGATTTACTCGACGACTTTGTTGTGCCAATCTACGCGAATCGATTACAGCCTGCTGTTGTTCTTCTGTTTGTTGCGCACGAATTTGGACGTGGTTTGCATTTCTTCGTTGTTGCGCAATGTTTCTATCTTCTTGACTCATATTCGCACGATGAGTCGACACTGCTCGTGCACCAGCTGAACGTCGGCCTAAATGAGATCTTCTCGTTGGTGGCATTATGAAGAACAACTGCAATACAATGAAATCACGAATAGAAAATTTGAAAACAATGAAACAACAATAGAAACGTACCACTTCTTACAGACAAATCCCAATAGTCAACCAACAATGCAACACATACACAAAAAAAACATTTGCTGATATCACCAATGTTGTATCCGATTTC